AACATCGTATTGATTGAGTCGATTCAGCGTAAGTTTTTGAAGTTTTTTGTTTTTTAAATCACAAGGAACCTATCCTGAAAGAGGTATAGATCATAAGGTTTTGTTGAATATGTTCAATGTAATTCCCTTAGGGGAAAGGAGAAATTGTAGTGCCATAACGTTTTTATATAATTTAGTTCATAATAATGTTGAGTGTATGTTTCTCGTTAATAAGCTCTGTTTTTTGGTTCCTCGCCAAAATTCTCGTGGAAATTATTGTTTTTATTCTCCCATTTGTCGCACAAACATTATGCGTAAATCACCAATATTCAATATTTCTAATGTATTCAATACTGTTTCAAATAGCTGTGATATTAACTATGACACGTTGAAAAATATAATTGGTTTATATATTGAAAGATTGCAAACTAATGCATGAATCTATTCATGATTTATGCCAGGTTCATCGTTTTTCTTTCTTTCTTTTTTATTTTCGTTAGTTTTTAGTGTTTAGTTGAAGGTCTATTCTTTCTGTATGTTTCCTGTAATTGGGTATTTTATTTCCTGTTGGAAATAAAGGTTATTATTATTATTATCATTATCATTATCATTGTCATTGTCATTGTCATTGTCATTGTCATTGTCATTGTCATTGTCATTGTCATTGTCATTGTCATTATCATTATCATTATCATTATTATTATTATTATTATTATTATTATTATTATTATTATTAGTTCTTCAAGCGTAAAAAATGTCTTAAGTATATAGCATTGGTGGTTTTCAACGCCTCTGCTGGTGACGACTCGAACCAAAGAACTTGAATGGTGGCTCTCTTTGAAATCATACGCTCTCTTCTGTTCCGCTATTATACGGCTATTAAAAAACTGTGGTGTTTTCCATTGCGAAACCGGCCTGTATCAGCCTGCGAAGTGCGAGTGTGTAAGAAACTTTAACAAGGCGCCTATTTTAAAGGTAAGAAAACCACCGATCCCATTTTCTTGTTTTATATTCGCAGTTATTTTCCGTGCAGACAATTAGAATCGTATGCAAAACCAGTAATAAAAAAATACAGTTCATTTCAAAACACTTTCCTTGGGAATTTCATTCAATTTTTTCTCTGAACATTTTTTATTACACGTTGTCGCCGTGCCGGTTGCCGACTGCATGCTTTGCCTTGCGCAAGATCAGATTTCACAGTGGACCAGTTTCCAGTGCCGTGCAGAAGGTTATTTTAAAATCATTTTCGAACTGTCCTCTTTTGATTTTTTTTGTAAGGGTTTCACATACAGAATTATTTTTTTTTTTGAAAAGTTCTGAATCGCCCTGTATACATATTTTTAATAAACCCTAACAATAAGAATATTTGAAAACTGAATATTACAGATCTTTTTTTAAGGATCAATTTTTGGAAAATGTGCCTAAAATTTTTTTTAATTAACTGGAAAGTTCTTGTAATTGTAACACTGCCCTCAAAAAATTGGCCCCCTCCCTGAAGCTTTCGAGCCCTCATGAAAATAAGAAAATATATTTCCAATTCAAAACAAAAGAGTAACTATTCTAGGACGTCCGCTAACAGAATCAAAGAGTTTTCAATCAAACGTTTCAAAGAGTTTCAAATCAAATCAACGAAATTAATAAAAAAGTTGAAATTATTTAACTTTTTTTACGATTTACAATCTAAATATTATGAAACATATGTAACGTTAACTACCTATTATATCAACAGATGCCTATAGAACATCAAAGGCATGTCGCTTGGCGAAAATTCGCGGTGGCCGCCGCC